AACACTAGGTTTGTTTTCTATATTACAGCCAATTGAAAAGCAGTTAATATGAAACTTAAGAGCTTGGGCTCTGGAACCAAGCCGACTTGAATGCAAATCTTGGTTCTGCCATTTAATAGCTACATGATCTTGGTCAAGTTGTTTGACCCTTCCTGCATCTCAATTTCCTTATCCATTAAATGGGGATAATAATAGTACTAACCTCATAAGGTGGTGATGAAGATTAAATAAAACAATACATGTAAAGTGTGTTCATAGTACAATGCCTAGCATGCGTTAAGTGCAGAATGTTTTATTGTAATTAAAAAATGGAATTAGTTTTCCTTCCTAGATATTTCAAATAATATGAGGATAGTTACAGTTATTCGTCTTACCTCCTTAATTTATTATTAGAGTGCCTGTTCTGGAACTAGTTGATAGGATTGGAAATTCACCTGTCTCATTTACTAGCTGTTTAATTATGGGCAAGTTATCTCACATCTTTATGACGTGCTTTACTCATTTATAAAACGGGTGTAATAATAGGGTTAGAGTGTGGAGAAGTAAGTTACGATAAGAGAAGTGCTTAGAGCAGAGCCCAACACTATGTTCAAAATATCTTACCATTGTTATTATTATTAATATAGTGGCTACTCATCAAGATTCCCTCAATCTGGTGATTTGAATTTATTTGTTGTACCTTTCCCTAAACTTAAGTTCAATTAAAGGAGATGGGGCAAAAGGTGAAAAAGGTGAAAGAAATTGAAAGGTACAAACTTCTAGTTATGAAATAAGTAAGTCAGGAGATGTAATATATAGCATAGGGAATATAGTCAATAATATCATAATAACTTTGTAAGGTGACAGATGGTTACTAAACTTATCATGGTAATCACTTCATAAAATAAATATATGTCAAATCACTATGTAATACACTAAAACTAATATATGTCAACTACACTTTAACAATAAAAATAAATTAATTAAAGTTCAATTCAAACCTCTTTAAAAAACATGAATAGCAAACTTTGCCTTGACTGTAATATAACCCTAAATTTTCAAGACTTTTCTGTAGAGTGGACTAAATGTTGTGAACTTTTATTCTTTTGTTTTCATTTTTGGGAGCACAAGTAAAGATGACTTTATTTTCATTGAATGTGAAAATAATAATCATCAGTATGGTTGCAGCATTTTCTCTCTGCTCATTCTGTACTCATCTTTTTCCAATTCCAAATCTCATTTGCATGAACCTGATGATATTGAGTATGGACATTGCAGAGCAGTGATAGCCTCCCTTTCATATTGAAGTCTGAAGCTTCAAAGAGAAGATTAAAGAAGTGTTTGTTATCTATCTGCACAGGCCTGATATGAAATTCTCAGAGGCTTTTAGGATAAACACAACTGCGTGTGTGTTTGTATGCTTTTTCTTCCACATACTTCTATTGTGGTCTTTGCATTTTGGTTGAAATTTTCTATTTTCAAATTTGTTGGAATCTCCGGCTAAGGGATAATTGTTTTTAAAGTGAAAGATAAGAATTAGAAATGTTGGCAGAATGTGACTGAATGCCTCCTAATGAGTGTAGAATTCTCTGTCTAGTGTGGAATCACCTTTCTGGAGAATGTGATGAAGGCCCTCAAGGGTATGTGTAACAAGACAAATCAAGACCTTAGGTGTGCCCTCCAGTGAGGAGGGAGGTGGCTCACCTTTTGGCCTTGTGTTTTTTTGTTTTGTTTTGAGAAATTTTATAAGTTTATTTGAGCCAAATCGAGGACATACGCTGAGGAGCAAGATATCAAATGCACTGCAGAATAACAGTTTTGCAACTTCTTTATGCATTTGAAATTAAGGAGAGGGCTTAAGGAAGATTGGAGAAAGTGAGAGGGATTGGATTACAGGATAGTTAACAAGATTATGTGCCATCTTGAGGGTTAGTAGCCCCTTTTTAGGGGTATTGCTTCTGGTATTTCAAAGATGCATTAACCTAGATGTATAAAAACAATGGTCAGGGCCGGCTTAAAACCTTTCACTAAAGAAGTTATAGGCCTGGGGTGTGATTACCCACCATGACTGCCCAGTTAGGAATTTGTGATCAGATTGCCCTATGAGGTTACTATCTGTAGAACTCCATTTTTTGTCCATGGTTCCCCTTTTTGGTCAACATATCAATCTGAAGGATATGTTGATGATAAACCTTTTGGTTGGATAGTGTGGTCTCACAGTGCTAGAAAGGCCCATTCCTAGGAAGTCTCAGTAGCAACGTCATCTTTTGATCATTGGGGATGGGGCGATACCACAGGATCTGCCAAATTTTTCCCCAGAAGGGAAGGGCAGTAAATGGAAGGCAGTCAGGTCTTATGTTGGCCTTGCCTTTTTGAAGTATCCTTTGTGAGCTATGGGATAGACGGATGTGTGTGTGTGTGTGTGTGCGCGCACATGCGTGTGTGTGTGTTTTAATAGTCTTTCTTTAGGGTTGTTACATAATTAATACTTAGAGTAAGAAGAGTGGGGGGAAAAGGTAGGGTAGCAAGACAGTTTTATACCTCTGAAAAAAAGGAACTAACATTCCACTTTATGCCATTCCCTGTCAAGTTCTATATATGATCTTTTATTGACAAATATTTAATTACAGTATCAAGAATAAAGCTGATCCTGCTATTTAACATCAGCTAGAAAGACCTGTTACTTTGATATTGTTAAATCTCATCTCTCTTTGTAATCAGCCTTCTTAAGACATAGCTATTATTGGCAGAAGCAGTATTCTTAGTATATGTGAACTGATAACATCTTAACTAATGAGAGAAACCAGAAAACCAAGGGCACTTTACAGTAGTAGAGAAGGGAACTGAAAATATGTGTGTGAGTTGGAGTGGGAATTGTGGGAGAGAGGACAAAAGAAGAGACTGAGATCATCAATAACATGTTTTACCTATTTAATAATTTGCCAAATGTTGGCCCTTTGACTGGGCTGCATGGCTAGGTTTTGTTTCTGGGTCAGTAAATGAAAACAATGTTGGTTAGCAAAGTTCCTGCGGTTGCCATCATTAACAGTTTGGAAAGAGGAATGTTGTGTATGTTCACACACTTGCACATGCTCAAATCCTAATTTCTATCTTTTTAATTAGAAGTTGGGTAATAATTGGAATCAGAGGCTAGGGCAGTGCCTCAAAAGAAGAAGGGAAATAGCAAGGGAAGATGACAAATTGCTCACCCCTTTGACGATTAGCTTGATTAGCTGTGTTTTGCTGAAAGGAGTTTCATGGAAATTTTACAGTGGCCAGATACAGTGGGAAGCTGGACTGTCTTCTAGGTGAAGATTGGCCCATCAAATTAATATATATAACTTATTAAGTTACAGCCACTTCTCATTTATGTATGCCCTTCATTGACATTGATGCCTTCTTTCCAGCTTGTTGCAGCTTTACATTTTCTACCCTGTCTCTTATTCCTTCTCCCCTTTTCCACTGCAGATGTCAAAGCTGTCCTGAACTTTCCCTGCCATCTAACCCAAATATCTTAAATTCCCCTTCACCTCATTGCCAGCCCAGAACTTTTCTGGGAAAGGAGAGGAACAAGAAAAGTCAATTGTGAGGTTTCTTCTCCACCTTCTTTTCCTCATCTTTGATAATTTCCCACACATTCATCTCTGGATTATGGCAACATCCTCCCCACTGATCTCCTGCCTCTCTATTTTCTGAATTTTTATATTATAAAGAAATAACCTAGATACCCACTGTGCTGATGTTTCTCCCTAAAGTAGCCACAGCTTATTTCAGTCATGTATGGACTGGAAGACACACCATCATCACCTATGTATTGCCTTTTTGTTAATTTTTTTTGGGTTGTGCACTGTTCTAAGAAGTTGATGAAAATGATGGACTCTCTTACAGGAAGGAGAGGATGCTCTTATGCATATATACACTCCAGAGAGGTCAAGATTAGGGTAGAAAAATATTCATTCTATTCAGTGACATGAAGGTCACTATGTCCACAGCAAGAATCAACATTTGATGATTGTAAGCAATACTGGAGTATGTTGAGGAGTGAGTGGGAGATGAGGAAATAAAGAGAGAAACTATAGACAACACTTTTGAAAATTTCACTGTAATATGAAGGGAAGGAGGACAGCAGATGGAGGGCTGTGAAAGGGGGTGAGAGAAGGTTTGCTTCATTTTTATATTAGCATAAATGCTGATGGAAAGGGCCAAGTTGAGAGGAAGAGGTTGAATATGTACAGGAGAAAATCAATATAGAAATAATGTAAGGTTCCTGTGAAGGCAGGAGGAAATGGAATCCAAAGTACAATAGACTTTTGTGGGTAACCACTATATATAACATTGTTTCTGGAGGTTACGAGGAACGCAATTTAGATTCCAAGTAAGTGACTTAGAAATGATCCTTTCCACCACGGCCATTTCATTAGTTTTAAGACTTGAAGGGTTGTCAGTTTTGCCAATCATTTCCCAAAATTAAAGAGGAGATGGAATGGTATGGCAGACTGCAAGAGCCCCAAGCTTGGCTCACATTTTAAAATGTTAGATGACCTTGAGTCAGTTGTTCATGCTTCACCTATAAAATTAAGAATTTAGGCCTGAGGGTGTGTTGGGGGCAATATTTTTGTTGTTATAACAACTGGGTGCCACTGGTGTTTGGTGCCCAAGATCAGTGATGCTGATAGTCCTGTAATACACAGGACAGGTTGTCACAACAAAAAATCCTCAAGACCAGTAGAGCTCCTGATGAGAAACACTGGACCACAGGTGGGTAACCTCTTAGGATGTTTCCGGCAATATGGTTAAAATGATCTAGGGAGTTACAGTAAGTTAAATGCTGCTTTCAAGCCTTTGAAAATCTTTCATATCTCAAGGACAGCACTTTGGTTTTTCTTCAAAGTGGGTAGTGACTTTGGCTGGTTATTGACTATTAAGCACGCTCTTTAGACTGTGTGCTATAGCTACTGTATGACAACCAAGACTGAGAAATATAGATTTGACTTACCTCCATTCTCTTCCTTGTATTTCAGGTACTATTGGGATTTTCAGCCCCAAGGTGAGTACTCCTTGATCATTTATGATTTTACACTAAAAATGTGGAGATGATATTTTTTGCTTCCATCTCTTCCAAATAAGCCTCTCCACAGAGTGGCATCAGCCATTTATGAGGAAAGTTAGTGGAGTGTTTAATTAACCTTCACCCTGCTGGGCCCCCTTGCCCTGCTTTTTAGCAACATGAGTCTCTGATGCTTCTGCTTTCTAAGCGGATTGGTGATAGATTATTTTATAGAACGAAAGCTGTAATATGCTTTTATTTCTTAAGCTTTGTTAGATGCCAACAGGATCCACTAGCATTCAAATAAAATGGTGGCCGAGTCCATAATAAAAACCTTGGGAGGGCTCCAATTCAACTAATCCTTCATTTGCTCCAGAAATAAATTCTAGTATGTTGCCTCCTCAATCACAGTGCTCTTCCACACAGCCTGCCTGTCTGGCAGCAGAGAAATGTCAGAAATGGAGCAGTGTTGAAATTCCCACTAGAACAGTGTTATCACATTTTAATATGAGCCTCACTGCAGCCTCGGTGCTTCTAATTGCTTTCAAACCATTGTTTTCTTGCTTTTGCTTGATGAACCCAGCATCTGGCATGATTCTAAAAAGTACGACAGACAGCTGTGTGCAAGATTTAAAAAAAAAAAAAAAAGGACAGGATTAGAACACATTTTTAAAAGGTTCAAAACTGGCATATTTTTTTCTGAATTCAAACAGTTCGAAAGGGTGTCTTTAAAGTATATGTATTCCTTCTTTTTCACTACTCTGCTTGAGAATGTCAGAAACATCTTTCTGAATGTTAATTAACTTATAAATGGAGATTTTATTTTCTCAAATAATCATAGAGTATTAGGATCAAACTTGCAACTAGTTTTATGAACTATTTTGCTCTAACTTTTTTAATTAGTTGTAAACTTTTCCCGTACTCCTAATTCTTTTTGCCTTTAATACTATCAGTGTGTCCCATCTCAGAGAACAGTAATACCTTAAGGAAATTTAAATTGTGAATGATACTAGTTTTATTAAATTTTTAATCTTCCTAGCTCCTACTTTGTTTTAGTGTATTTTAAGTCTACATAAGGATTTTTTAAAAGCCAACCTTAAGAAATAAAATCTTATCTTTTTAAAGTTTTTTCACTCTTATAAGTTAGTCATACTGTTTATAATATTTTAAATAATGTAATATTTTGTTACCATATATCTCACTGTCCTAAAGCATTTATGCCTGAAAACATAAATCAAGAATAAAAAATTATGTATAATAATATAGCAGTTTTCTTTGCAAAATGTGAAATATGCTATTCAGGAAATGGCCTTGTAGTTCAGGGTTTAACAGATGTTAACCAAAATCCACAGGGGCCAGAACATGAATATGAGCTGACAGGAAAGAGTAGAAGTGTGAGGGTAGAATTAATTACCTAAAGGAGAAATAAAGAATTAGTGTCAGAAATATGATATAATAATATGTTGAGGAGAGAAAATAATCTTGGAGCTTAACACGAGAGACTCTCTGGGGCTAAAATGACAAAGGGCACATCTTACCAGATTCTTATAATAGTGGCAATGCAGTCGTCTCCAAAGCATAGGGCAACTTCTACACAGCCTTTCAGTTTTAGAGGGGGAGGAGAGATGAGCAGCCAAGATGACAATTGAAAAGAGTTTATTTAGAACAGAAAACTGTATTTGCTTATTGACAGTGGTTGAATATATGTAGCAGTCTTTGCTCATTTGGAAGTAAATGTAAGGAAAGACCAAGTAGAAAAATCTATACTTGTGTATCTTGCCCCCAGCCTTGTTCCTCCCGGTAAGAGATTCTTTTTTGGAGGGAGGCGGGGACGGGGAAGAAGGAGAGTATCTTTTACCTTATCTTTTGGTTGAGGTCTTACTTGACTGTGTGCTTCAGAAACTGGTCAAGTGGGTGTGAGTAGTAATAGGTGTATATAAATTTCTACAGGACAATTTAGGATTATGTAAGAAAGAGAAGAGCTGGCTGGCAGGACCATTTAAAAAGCCCTGGAAGACTAGGTAGTATTGGAAAGGGATTGAGAAATGACAGAAATGATGATCCCAAATTATCCTAGCATTTTTATCCAGGGCAAGATCCTCCATGCAGGAATATGATGGGATGAATTTTATTAACTCTGTATATTTGTCTAAATACACACTTGTGTTCTCCAGGATATTTGGACTAAACCAGAGTCTGGTCCCCGGAAGGAAAATGATCCTTAATTTTAAAAAGATCTCTTATTTATAAATCCCTTTAGTACCACACATTTAACCATCTGTTTATGGTAATGATTTGGCACAGTGTGCTGAAAGGGTGACTTTTAAAAAAAGATGCTTGCCCAGACATAGAGAAGGATTGCAAGCAAAGTTTTTCTTATCCATCATTCCACTCAATCCCAGGTTTAACGTACTGGAGGAGTAACCATTGACTAGTGTTAAGGAGAGTCTTGTTCCTGTACTAGAGAAGAAACATGGCATGTAGAAAACACATGGATGTTGGGTCTTGACAGACAAATCTCACCTATACCAGTTAGCTGAAGGTCAAGTGACATTAGCGAGTTGCTTAATTTCTCTGAACCTCGGCTTCCTTATCTATAAATTGGGGATGTATCAGATACTGAGCAAAGTCCTTTACGTGCATTATCTCATTTAACCTTCAGAACAGCTCATAATACAAAGATAAAATCTAGGTTGAAATTAATAAAACGTGACATTATTCTTTTATTTCTATTGTGAGACCTAGTATATTAATGCACAAAATAGTTTATGTATCTTAGACACAAAATACAAAGAAGAGTGAGCTTGTTAAAAAAATTGTTGTTTAAAGTTTAATGTTTTGGATGAAAGAGCATGAGCTTTGAAATCAGACGTGAATTTGAATCCCAGTTCCTCTACTTAAGATGGGTGAGCTACCGCAAGTAACCTAATATCTTCATCTACAAAATCTTCCCAATATCTACTTCACAGTTATTATGAGTTGCAATGAGTTATAATGAGGTAATGAACTCATAAGGAGTGCTTGCCACTTGGTAGGCTCTCACTAAAGTGGCGAGTATTATTTTTATGTTTCAAAGTAGGGGTATGCAAGTAAATCCATGTGTGAAACTTAGACAATATATATTTCACATATCTTTCCATAAAATTTATTCATTCCAGCTGAACCTTGGTGTAGGGCCGTGTGATTCACCATGTATATATTTGTGAGGTTTGCATTTAAAAGATATGTGTACAGAATTTTTATTGGTCGGCCCTTCAGAGGTTAGATTTATGAGACTGTCGCTCTGTAATGTCTAAGACATGTTGAATTGAAGCATGATTGTCACTTCTCGTCTCTTACTATCACATACTTGGAGCATGTAGTTATGACAATTACAAGAAGCAAACCATTAAAGCAGCAAAGAAACACCATCTTTGCACTAAAAAAAAGAGAGAAGGGTTTCCCTTTGAAGTCGAAGAGAAGTGTTTTTGAATTAATGGAGTGCACAGTGATTTTACTAAGTTTTATTTATGAAAATACTCTTTGCATTCATGCCAAAAGGTTTTAGCACAGTCGTAAGTAGGATTTATACAAAGAAACACAGACCAAATTTATGACGTGTTTGCAAATGTAAGAAAAATTCTGAATTTATAATATTTGGAATTTATTGTTAAGTATCTTTCTATCACTATTCCTGGAATGATAATATTTTATAAACACAAGTGTTGGTTATGAACCTAGAATATCCTAACCTATACTACTTTTTAAAAAGAGATCTTCCAGAATGCTTTCTATGTCTTTTGGGGATTTAATAGGAAGAAATGTATACAGGACGAATACTCCTGCCTTTGGCTTTAGCCCAGCCTTTTAGCATCAACAATCTTGACAGCTGCTTTTGTGACTTGACTTCCTTTAGGACTTTCTCCCCTTTCCTTATTTGCTTCATTTTATACAAATTAATCTGTAAAAAGTGAATATACACACAAATTGTTTTGAAGTTAATTACTGACTTTGATACCTTTTCAAATATTTTACTTCCTATACATCTACTGTTTTTTTTAAAGAGTAGAATAATGCATTTTAAAATTAATTCACTGTTTTGCAGCTATTGTCAAAGACAGTAAGACTTTTTTAAATCAAAAGACTTGCTTTTTTAATGTTAAAATTTTCTAAGATTTTTATGTCCTTTGTAAATGTCTTATCCTGGAGTAGATGATATTGAGACCATAAGAAAAAGAATTGACTTTCATGCAGGTGAAAGAAGAAATCATTGGAATCA